AGTGTGACAGTTTTACTCATGTTCTTTGATTTGTGATTTGTTACACACAGTTAGTACATCACTTAATGTTGCAGTTGCGTCACAAGAATGTGAGTACCTGCAATATTTTTATCTAATTTCTATACCACCCAACAGCTGAAGCTCACATAAATATACAATATAAAATACAAAGCATCATAAAAGTTTACCATACAAAAATTAAAACCAGACTTAAAACAAGAATAAAAAGCTACAATAGCTTATACAAATTAAATCATAAGAGCTGCTGAAGCAGCTGACAAAGCCCCAATATAACAGTAAGCTAATTAAATACCCTGCGGAAGAGGACAGTCTTAACCTGGCATCGGAAAGGTTGGTCTCAGGTGGGCCTCAGTGGGGAAACCTCTTCCATAACTGTGGGTGAGGGCAGCACTGAGACGGTCCTTCACCTCTGAAAAGGCCAACTGTAGTAGGCTTGCAGTTGACCCACACTCTAATTGGATTATTTCACTTGCCTTGCATAGTGCTATGTTGTTCTATGGCTATGCCATTTTGTGCCCACTTTGAGGCTATAGACATCTGTAGTATTATGCAACATAAAATCTTTTCTTAGACCCTTAGTCTGTAAAAATGTACTGCTAAAATTAACAGTCCAGCTCAACTTCCCGAAGGAGGGTCTGGGAAGATGATCTAAGTGAGGGCAGGCTTGAGGCAGTTACATGTTTCTTTAGATACTAAATGTAAAATGTCCAATATTAGCAATGCTTTGTGGTGGTCATCTTGTCCCATTTTTCTGTATGTTAAGGTATTTAAGTATTGATTCATTGGATTTATAAGCTGCTCTTTCTTTAAGAAGCCAAGAAGAATGTACATGGTTTTTATCCTACAATTTAATCCTCACAAGAAATCCTTTAGGTAGCATAGCAGAGAAAGTGTAACTTGTCCAAGGATAGCCAGTGCACTTAATGGATAAGTTGAATGGGAGTGTGAATCTTGGTCTTAACATGATTAGCTTGATGTTCTTAGCACTACTGCACAGTGACTTGTTGTGGTTTTGTAATTGTCAGTGTGTGTGTGTGTGAGAGAGAGAGAGAGAGACCGAGCGATGTGCCAGTATCTCCCCAATTCAAATCATGTTCACTTTTATTCAGCCATGGGCCAAATTTCAGAAAAGATCCTGTGGGCACATTTCAATAATGGATGAGCTCAAATTCAGAAGTGGGCAGGACTAAGAAGTTACCCCCATCCAAAAAATCCTCCCATATTCACTGATGGGTATGGTGAAGCTCAGCAGAGAGATTATTTTTACTACATTTATTTCCCACCTTTCTTCCCTTGTGGTACTCAGGGTGGCTACATGCAGTTCCTAAGTCATCTATCCTCCAAGCACTCTCCAGACCCAGACCTGCTTAGGTTCGTCATGGTGGCTGCCGTAACCTGCTTCTGAGTAAGCATTATGCATGTTTCCTCAGAAGCAGCCTCCATACATTCAGATGCAGAATACTGTGCATGTTTACACATTGATAGAATATTAGGTGTGTTTACTTAGGAAAAAAAGCTGAATACTTTGCATGCTTACACAAAAGCAACTCGCATTCAGAGTCAAAATACTACAGAAATAAAGCTGTTTCTGTTAGGAAACAGAATTAAAATGTGAGGAAAGTACAAGAAAAACCAGCCAGTGAAGAAAAATGCTTCTTAGTGCTTTAGCCATTCTTTTGAAAAGACTGCCCTTCTCCCCCCCTCCCCCCGCACCCCTTGAGATATGTTGGGAAATGACTGTATAATTTGCAGGAGGCAGATGAACAAGGAAACACCCGGTAATATAGAGAAGGCAGTGTGGCTACCTGGGATAACTCAGAGGAGCAGGTTAGGGCATGGGTTGGAAGTGCCTCGTCTTTTCCTTAGACAACTTTTTTGTCAGCCTCTGTTCTCTACCTAATATGAGAAGGAGGTTCCTTAGATGGCTGCCCTTACAATTGTGATATGTGTATGGTGTACTTAAAACATTTAGAAGTTATAAGTAGTATTTTGCATGTATAAATCTTACATAAAAAGTTGCCAGCTTTACATTCTAGTAACCTTAATGTAAGTGATCAAAGTACTTTCACATTAAAAGTGAGGCAGGATGCAACTTGCTTGTAATATTTTGTTCCTGATTCTATATGAATCTTTCCTTGTTTTTAAATAAAGCCTCCGAAGAAAGAGGATCAGCAGTTGGAGCTTAAAGCAAGTCCCAAGAAAGTGCCAGAATCCACTGTTGACCTTTTGGGACTTGGTAAGTAGTCATTCATATTTGTCTTGTAGAAAAACAATTGTAGCTAGAGCTGTGCCTACAATAATCTAAGTTTGTTCTTCCACATATTGTCAAATACTGTTTACTAAATTTAAAATGGTGCTTTACTCTCCTTTATGTAGAGAGAAAAAACTGAAGCAGGTCTGTGCATTGCTGTCTACTAAACTACAAGTAATTAGGTCCTTGGGGAGCAGGAAACTATCAAAGTGATCTTCAAAGTGTTTTGGACTTTGACACTTTAAAGTGTGTGTGTGTGTGTGTGTGTGTGTCGTCTAAAGCTACGTTTGCCTTCCTAAAGTAGACAGTTTCCTAATACCCATGTGAAATCTGTATAGTTTCTGTTGAATACCCCTGTCCTAAAGAATCACACAAGTAATGTTACCTGCTTGTTGAACTGGGTTTCTCAAACAGCAGCCCCCACCCCAGGTACACATTATTTATTTTGAAAGGGAAGGATTTGAAATGCTAGTATCAAGATCAGATGGGGTTTGCTTGTTAGAAAAAAGGTAAAGGCAAATGGCCTTGTGGAAACTAGGCCAGATATGTCAAAATAGTTGTTTGTTGGATTCTTATCTATTAAGGATATTATACACTTAACCTACATCCTGTGGGGACCTCTTATAGTACCCACAAAGCTCTGCACCCCCTGCCCTTCAAAAGCAGCAGCAGCAGATTAAATACAAGTTTTTAAAAGAATTAGGATGCCAAGATCTTCCTCTTCTTGAATGTGTGGCTGTTCCTGGAGCAGGGAGGGAAGGAAAGAGTTATATTCTGGCCTTTCTCTCTGCTTCTAAGCTCTAGCCTCACAGTTTCTTGCCCCTCGACCCCTTTTCTTGCAATTCTCTCCTTTTTCTGTCTCTTGCTGCCACTGTTCTCTCTTACTGTAGCTACTCTCTTAGCTTTCTTCCTCTTACCTTTTATCTCACTATTTCCTCTACCTCCAGGTCTTCTCAACCTCTTCAGTTCGCTATTTTCTCTAGCCTCTAGCCTTGTGTTTTCCATCAGAACTGTACCCTGATGGGGACCTTTTTCTTTCCTTTTGCAGATGGGGGCATTTTCCTTTGCTTTGGACATGGGGAAATCTTTGTTGTATGTGTGTGGATGAGCGCTCCACTCTTATGCAGACTTTCTCAGAAGTAATCCTCACTGAGATTGATTAAGTATTTTGGTGGGCTTCTGTGCCATCAAATAATGTGGACTTATGTTCATTTTCAGACCTTTCTTCCTCTACTTGTATTCAGTTTATTGACTGAAAGTGAATTACTTGGTTTTGGACAAGCCAGCCTGCCATAGCAGCCATTATGTCACTAGCCAAATCACCAGCAAGGGAGGGAAAGGTACATTAGGTACAATACATGAATTGCCATGAAAAAATCTTGACAAAATAATGAAAGCATTAATTTGCCATTACCTTAGACAGAAAAGTTTTATTTTAGTAAACAGTGCTTGTAGGTACATAAATTGGTTCCAAAAATGCTAGTGCTTTAGGAGAGTATGCTACTGGTTAGGAGAAAAAAGGTTGTTAACACTTATTATATTCTTCACTGTTGCATAAATATTAAATTATTTAACTGAAGGTATTCCTAGCAGAAGCCAAACTGCTCGCTACACTAGAGGGAGCTTCCTGAATATTAATAAGATCTGTGAAAATAGCTTCTGGGTGTCTGTGGAATAATTCAACTTCTTGACAGTCTCTGTGTGCGCGCATGTGCGTGCATCAGTATAAAGTTGACCAGTGGTTCAACTTCTGACTGGAAGGCATTAATCTAAGAGGAGTTTCAAAATATATATATTAACGCAATTCACTCAACTCCAGTCATCATAAGTAGTCACTACTCATCACTGGTGGCTGCATACTTTTGATATAATGCCAGACCTTGCCCTTTTCACTACATCTGGTTTGAGGCAAACCATAGTCTGCTGCTTTATCTGAACTAACAAATTTACTGCAGATTTTGGCTACCCTTAAATTTGGAGAGGGAGGGAAGATCCTCATGGGGAGAGTAGAGAGGGTGCAAACTCACAAGTATAGCGAGGCTTGTTCATTTCTTAGAAGCCACCATTACTATTTGGTCTACGACTAGCTCTTCCTACTAAGAAGCAAGTTAAATGCTTATACTGGTATAGCAATATTGAAAAATCTGTCAGGATTGTTTTCCAAAGGTTGTATGCATCCATTGCACAAGGTAACATTGCTCACACAACAGAATATGACACCGTGTGCCAGATTCCAGGCCTTTACTGATAATCCTCTGGCCCTCGAGAAGCTTCTTAGGGAGTGTAGAGTGACTGCAGTGGGGCAGGCTCCTGTTCATGGAGCCTTCCACTTGCACAAATCTAGATATAGTCTCAATTCCCAAATTGATTTTGCATAAATTTGAAGTTGTTTGTTGGGTAAACTAGAGACTTTTTACTATAGGAATTTTCCAAATTTTGTTTGACGCTGGCCAGCATCCAAAGTACAGCACATGAACTTTTTTTTCCGCCGTTCTTAAGGCTTCCCCTTCTAGTGGCTTCTCCATTTCCCCTTGCAGTCCCCTTTACCCTGCCAAAAGCATCCCAAGATTAGACTACCTTCTGGAATGACATCCTGTGAGACAGAGGTGGTGGCAGTGAGATACAAAACTAAGTAGTATCCTTTTGTGCATATGGAAACAGTTTGTACACGCATGCACAGGCTTTCCTGAATCATTACCATTGTTCTTGTACAGATTTATCTCCTCAGCTCTCAAGAAATGAAACATAATTTTACACTTTGGATCAATCTTGTTCAGTATAGTTGGACGTGTATACTTTTAAGTGAAATGATAGTAATTGATGCCGAATAAGATTAATAAAAGAAAAGGAGGCCTATTCTTTAGAGATTTATCCCGTGAGTGCGAATAGAGCACATCATGAACACCAGTTAGAAGAATTTTGTTTTCCTATAAGGTGGTAATGATCCTGCACAGCTTCCTGAGAGCAGACCTCTCTCCTCTTGTTCACTTCCCCTCAATCTGATGAGGAGGGTCCTCCAATCCTGCATGGTATATTTAGGGAGCTGCAGGAAGGGAAGCAAACCCATTCTTCCACTGGTGTCTGATCTGGTTTAGGAAGAGGTATTTGGATGCATTCAGTTATTTTTGTATTTACCATTTTTAAATGCTCACTATTATTTGTATCTGCTCCATTGTGTTTCAGCTTTAAGGGCTTTGCGAGAGGGTGCTATTGTTCTCTATGCTAAGCATTGTAAGCTATACCACTTACTAACTCCTCTACCATTGTGTGTGCTCTGTTTTGTTCTTTTTCCAACTCAGCATACTTTTTTTTTTACCAGTGGAGAAAAATGTTTATTATTTTACCATGCGTATGTAAACATGGAAGACACTATAGAACCACAGTAATAAATATTAACCAGTTAGAGATTTCCAATTTGCAAATACAAGTTCTTCGTCGTGGCCTCTGTGCATCACACACATGGGTGCTGCGCCTGCACAATGCCTGTAGCTGGGAAGATTTGAAAGCTTAACAGTTTTAGCGGGAACTCTGCGCCCCCCCCCCCCATAGTATAAGAAGGTGGAGTGCCCACCATTTCCCAGGTCTTATTTGCAACTGCTGTTTGCTGTGCCTTGAGCCTTTTGTCTCTCAGTCTGTAGCTATATTGTTGTATCTCAATCCCTTTTTTTACCGTTGTTCTTCTATTCTCTTAGTTTTCTTGTTAAGATTTCCAAGATATTAATCCCTCCCCATTGGAAGCTTCTTTTAATTCCCCTTTCCCCCCTTTATATATAAAATTTATTCTCTTCTTATATTTCTCGACTTTACTATCTTCTCCTTTCATCTTGATGGCTCAGCATGTGGCTTTCCGCAAGTGCTCTCAGTGTGGGGCCAAGATGTCCCCCACTTATCCGCATGATCTGTGCCTTCTCTGCCTTGGAGAAGATCACAGGACCGATAAGTGCGGCCATTGCCAGGCCTTCACCAAACAGGCACGAAAAAACAGGAAGAACCGCCTGCGCAAACTTCTCTTGGTCCAGGCTTTGGTTGCATCTGATCAACTGGTGGCCCAATCCGCTGCGCAGCCTTCCTCTTCGGCTGCCCCTCCGCCCCACCCATCGGCCGATGCAGCTACTCTGCCAGAGGGCAAATACTCTTCAAGTCTCCTCACAAACAAAAGGAGAAGAGGAAGCACAGCGGATCCAACAAGTCCTTGGGCCATAAGAAGACTGAAAAGGACAGGGCCCATAAGACCAAGAAGGCCAGTCAGCCACGTCATCATTATTCGGGATTGTCTGTCCCGTCAGTCCCAATGGTTATGTTGGTATGGCAGTTGATGGCTCTTCAACTGGCCATGCAGGTGACTCCACCAGGGTCCCCGCAACAGGTCGTCCCTTCAACTCTGTTCTCACCCGATCGTCCAGAGGCTACCATACCGGGATCAATTTCCGACAGAGAGATGCGGGAGTCTTCACAGATGGCTCCTCCGATGGCACGCTCACCTGCTCTGTAGCCTTCACCTGAGGTTTCTCTGAGGGCCCCACTTCATCAGATGCGGCAGCAGCCCCATGTTTCTGCTCATCCTTCCGGAGACTGAGTGCAAGTGCCCACTGTGAACCATGAGACGACTATGCACCCTATGGATATTATCCATTGGTACGCCAGCATACACTGTCTCCAGTCCCAAGGGACGCTCCGTCGATGTCCGCGGCAGTTCAGACCAGGCACCCTTCCTCACTGGCTGACTCCTCCTCCAGTCCTCCTCTCCATTACGATTCAGAGTCAGAGGATTCGGATGCAGCGTCGTCCTCACTGGACACGGTGATTACTACGCAAGGTCCCAACTCACCCGAGGAGTCGTATTCAACGTTTGGGGAATGGATGGTGAGATTGGCTGGGTCACTGGAGAGCACAAGGCCCAGCACCGCTTCGATCCCAGTATTGATCGTCGGGTGGCCGGCGGCTACAAAGTGCTGCAGGGGGGAGTGCCGGCGGGAGGAACAACA